TCCGAGAGACGGGAAATTGGGAATTATTTGGGAATTATTTGGGAATTTGGCAGGGAAGGAGGAGACTTTTTTTTAAAAAAAAAAAAAAAAAACTCAAGTTTCATTCCCGGATCCAAACAAACTCCCGGTGCTCCCGGAGTTTTTTCCTTGGAATTCCCGCTCCCAGCTCCTTTTTCTCCGTTTTTTTTTTTTTTTTTTTGTTTTTTTTTTTTTTTTTTTGGGAAAACCGCCCCATTCCTAAACCGAGCCGCTCCAAGGATTCCTGCTCAGCCTCCACTTTTCCCAGCAAAACCCCGGGAATTCTTCCCACTCCTCCCTCGCTCTTTTCCTTCCATTCCCGACCCTCGGCGTGACGAAATTCCCGATAATTTTCCTCGGAAACCAAACGCGTCCCGGACCCCAATTCCAGTCGGGTTCTTTTCCTTTTCCCTGCTCCCAAACCTTCCCAGGAAAAAAAAAATCCTTTTTCCAAAGGGATCTGGGAGCCAAACCCGGCAGTGGGAGCGCGGCTTTTCCCGGGAATGTGGGGCTGAATTCCCACCCGGAATTCCCGGTTTTTGGACGCTGGAAAAGCCTTACCCCAAATCCCGAACCATTCCCGGGCTCCGGCTTTCCTCCTCCAGGTATTCCCAGGATTTGGAATCCGCTCTGCTCATCCATCCATGGAGGAAGGAAGGGGAAAAAAAAAAAAAAAAAACAAAAAAACTTTCCCTGGATTCTCCCGATGTCCCGCGGTGGATCCGGGATGGGAATCGGGAAAAAAATCCGGGAACAATCCCGGGATTCCCGGGGCAGCGGCGCCGGCTCGGAGCCTCCAAGGAGGAATTCTCCGCTGCCCCCAAAAAATTCCCAATTTATCCACCCTGGGCCCGACCCCGGGAGCCTCATTGGCCTCTCCCGCTCCCCCTCCCTTTCCCCTCATAAATATGGAAAACCGGGAATTCGGGATTCCATTGGCTGCCCGGGAGCCCCCCGGGAGGGGCGCGCTGGATGCGGGCCGGGAAAAGGCGACAGCTGCTCCCGGTGCTCCTTTCCAGCGGGAATTCGGGCCGGGAAAAAGGGGGAAAAGAGCCTGGAGCGACATTCCCGAAAAATGGGAAAAGAGCCCGGAGAGGCATTCCCGAAAAAAATGGGAAAATGGGGAAAAAAACCTGGAGCGGCATTCCCGGTCCCGAAAAATGGGGAAAGGGGGAAAAAGGATCTGGAGAGACATTCCCGGACCGGGAAAATGGGAAAAGGGACCCGAAAAATGGGAAAAGGGATCTGAAAAATTGGGAAAGGGGTTTTGAAAAGGGGGGAAAGGGAGCCTGGAGCCGCATTCCCGGGGGATCCCGAGGCTCTGGTGGATCCCTGCGGGTCCCTTTGGGATCATCCAGAGCCTCCATCCCATAAATCCCGCCTGGAAAATTCACTGTGGGGGTGAGGGAAAAGTGAAAGGGAGGAAAGTCGGGAATAACCGGGAATAACCGGGAAAAGCCGAAAATAACCGGGAATATCCCGGGGAAAACCGGGAATGGGGCTTCCGTGTCCAGCCGGGACACAGCGACCTTCGGGGCCGGCCCTGCTGGGATTGTCCCAGTTCAGCTCCGGGAAAATAATCGGGAAAATCGGGAAAATCGGGGAAATCCGCTCCGGTTCCAGGAGATCCCGGCGCTCCCGATCCCTCCCAGGGCCCGGGGTTTGGGATTCTCCCGCTCGTCCCGGGACATTTCGGGTCTGTCCCAAAATATTTGGGGTCTCTCCCAGCCCTGTCCCCTCCTCGCGGCCTCCTCGGGCACGGCCCTGTCCCCTGCCCGTGTCCCCTCCTGTCCCCGTTCCCATTTTCTGTCCCTGTCCCCATCTGTCACTGTCTCTGTCCCCATCCCTGTCCCCTCCCGCTGCCATGGCGATTCTGCCCGTGCTGGCCCTGTCCCCTGTCCCCTGTCCCCTCTCCCTGTCCCCTCTCTGTCCCCTCTCTGTCCCCATCCCTGTCCCCTCTCTGTCCCCTCTCTGTCCCCTCCCTGTCCCTGTCTGTCCCCTCCCGCTGCCATGGCGATGCTGGCGATGCTGGCGATGCTGGCGGGGCTGGCCCTGGCTCTGTCCCCGCTCTGTCGCCAGCTGAGCCCCGCGTGTCGCCGCCCGCGGCTCCGG